GAAATACTGTTTTTATAAGTGAGCACTTCTAAGACATACATTTGAGGATGGGTTTCATTCAATCCAGATGACAAGGTAGACTTTGTAAAAAGGACTCATGGCTTCTATTCATATATTTAACTGTAAATGTAAGACTAAAAGCAGTAATGGGACAAGAATTGGAGAATCTGTGTGAATGTTATACATTTGAATAGATAAAGTAAGGTCATTAATTATTATATGAACAAAAGATACCATTTAAAACTGGCAACCTGGTTATAGGCTTAACAAGAAATGGATTAATAAGAAGTAGATAGTAGCCAGACATGGTGGTGCATGCCTTTAATCCCAGCACTCAGGAAACAGAGGCAAATGGTTCTCTTTGAGCTTCAGGCTAGCCTGGTCTAGATAGCAAGTTCTGGACCAACCAGGGCTACATAGTGAGACCCTGTCTCAAAAAAAAAAAAAAAAAAAATCCTCAATGATACTAATCTAAAAGAAAACTCTTGGGCTAGAAAGATAGCCCAGCAGTTAAGAGTGCATGTTGTTCTTGTAGATGACCTGAGTTCAGTTCAATTCCCATCACCCACACAGGGCAATTCACAACCACCTGTAACTCTAGCCCTAGGAGTTATCTGAAGCTTCTGGCCTCCATGGACACTTACATTCATGTGCACATAGACATGATTTGAAATGTCTTTTTCCTAAAAAATAATAATAACTCTTGAACAGAAATGCAAACTTTCTTACCCAAAGAAATTTTTTTGTGTTTGTTGGGTTCATTGGTTTTTTTTTTTTTTTTCTTTTTTGGAGACAGGGTCTCCCTCTTGCTGGCCTGGAATTCGCTATGTAGACCAGGCTTGGATCTTTGTGAGTTCAAGGCCCCTGCCTCTGCTTCCTGAACGATGGGATTACAAGTGTGTGTCACTATACTCAGCTTCATTTTTATTTTTAACCTTTTATTGCATTTATTTGTTTTGTGTTGGGGATGTTGCACATGCCATAGCATGTGTGGAGGTCAGAGGACAATTTATGGGAGTTAGTTCTCTCCTACCATGTGAGTGGGTTCTTGTGGATTGAACGCAGATCGTCAAGCTTAGCATTAAACACCTGTACCTACAGAGCCTTCCCCCTGTCCCAGAATTGTTTTTTAAATCAAATAAAAGGGCCCAGGCTCATATAAAAATTCTTTTAGAATTTGGTGTGGTGGTGCATGCCCTAAGTCCCAGCACTTGGGAGGCAGAGGCAGGTGGATCTTTGTGAGTTCAAGGCCAGCCTGGTCTATATAGCAAGTTCCAGTTCAGCTGGAACTACAGGGAGACCCAGTCTCAAAAAGAGAAAAAAAGGGCCGGGCGTGGTGTTGTGCCTTTAATCCCAGTACTCAGGACTGCAGAGGGCAGAGGCAGGCAAATCTCTTGTAAATTCAAGGCCGACCTGGTCTACATAGAGTTCTAGGCCATCGGGGCTACAGGGAAACCCTGTCTCAAAAAGACCAAAAAAAAAATTATTTTAGAATTTGTAATTTTTCGCTAAAAATAAAACCTAATTTTGTTTAGTCTTGGAATAAAGTGAAAGTATTTTTGAGAATTTATCTTTCTCAGGTAAAATATCTTTTTTATTATTTTCTAGTCTAAGCCAGTAAATTAATGTAATTTTTAAAATCTGAGTTGTCTTACTGATTACAAGTTCATTTTTCGATAATTATACATGAGTCGACTTGCAAAGTTGTTTAGGAAGTCAACTGTGGAAGATTCTAAATGGTAACAAATGTCTTTTTATTTCTCTTTTGAAATCTTATTGTAATTTGAATCCGTAACCTGAGGTTTGAAGTGCTCAAGATTTACTTTTGCTGAGTAAAAAATATAAATGGGGTCTGGAGAAATGACTCAGTGGTTAAGAGCACCGGCTGCTCTTGCATAGGACCTGGGTTCAAATCCCAGCACCCACATGGCGGCTAACAACTGTCTATAACTCCAACTCCAGGGGATCCAGCAGCCTCTTCTGACCTCCATGGGCATTGCATGACATGGGTGTACTTACATGCAGGCAAAACACTCATATACATTTTTTAAAAATATTTTTTATTTATTTATTTACTTATTTATTCATTTATTTATTTGGTCTTTTTGAGACAAGGTCTCCATGTAGCCCCAGTTGGCCTGGAACTCACTATGTCGACCGGGCTGGCCTCAAGCTCACAAATATCCGCCTGCCTCTGCCTCCCAAGTGCTGAGACTAAAGGTATATGCCACCATGACCTGCTCTTAAAAATACATATTTTAAAGAAAATATGAAGTGTTTCTAAAGTGATCACACAAATATAGTATATAAATCTTTATGGTTGAAGATGGTTTCTTATTTTTTTACTTTTGTGTGTATGAGTGTATTGCCTGTATGTGTGTAAGTGTACCTGTGTCATGCAGTTCCCATGGAGGTCAGAAGAAGGCATTGAATCCCCTGGAACTGGAGTAACAGACGGTTGTTAGCCACCATGTGGGTGCTGGGAATCAAACCTGGGTCCTCTACAAGTGCAATCAGTGCTCTTAACCACTGAGCCATCTCTCCAGCCCCGAGAGTGGTTTCTTTAGTTAACATTTTATTTATTATATTACAGCATCCTTAGGAGATGAAATAAAAGATGCTTGTTAACATAGTTTTCATTGAGGCCACCTCTTTGTTTCTTTTTTTTTTTTTCTTTTTAACAATGTTCTTGATGTTTGACAATGTATTTTAGGCTTTAAGACACTTTGTATAATAGAACATGTGGGGCAGGTAATATGTACCCATTTACTACTTGTGACAAAATGCCTAACAGGGTTTCAGAGGAGATTGAGCCATCATTGTAGGGAAGGCTTGGTGGCTGGCACCATGCCGGGGTGGCTGGGGCATGTGGCACCAGCTTTGTATGGCACAGTCAAGGAAACAAAAATCTTGAATGGATTCTGAAGCCAGTATTACTTCAAAGGTTTGCCCCTATGGTCCTACCTCCACCAGCTATGTCCCCCTCCAAAGGTTTCAGAGTTTCCTAAAACAGCACCACTAACTGGGGACCAAGCTATCAAATACATGCACCTAGACGGGTCATTTCACATTTAAGTTATTATAGCAGGTTAGGAATTGAGGCTCAGGGTGATTATGTGATCAGCTCAGGTCACACAGCTAGGAAAGAACAAGGCCAGTCTGTCTCCTCAGGGCTTCAGGTGGCAAGTGCTTCTCTGAGATCATGTTCAATCCTGCTTCCTTTCACTTGACAATCGGATCTGCCATCCCTCCTGAATTACTCTAGATCTCTCATCCCTCACAGCAGCTTGGATGAAGGGATACTTCTTTTTTTCCTACCTCCTTTCCCTCTTCACTGAGCCTTTTTTTCCACTTTTTCTCCTTTTTAGGTATTTTTAATATACTTTCCAGTGTTTTTTTTTCTTAGCTAGTAGTTGTTCTTTTTTAATCTACTGGAATATCTTCTGTTACCTTTGACAAGTTATTCAGCTCTTTTTCATCTTCATTCCTTTTTACCTTGTAAACTTATTTGTTGTTGTATATGTTGGATGTATTTGAATTATTTGTTTCTATGTGTTTTACCATTAGACTGAACTCACTGGAGAAAGACCATTGTAGTCTTTTTTTTTTTTTGCCTCATTTAAAAATTTTATTCATTTTTATTTTGGTATGTGTTAGGTATGTGTTTGGTATGTGTTGCCTCCATGTAAGTACATTTGTGCCTGCAATGCCCTAGAGGCCAGAGGAGGGTGACAGATTCCCCTGGAACTGGAGTTATGGGTGATTACTAGCAGCTGTGTAGGTGCTGGGAACTGAACCAGGACGGAGCAGCCAGTGCTTTTAACCACTGAGCCGTCTCTCCAGCCCTCCCTTTCTCATTTTTTTTTTTTTTCCTCGTTTTGAGACAGGGTCTCCATATAGTGCCAGCTGGCCTTGAACTCACAGAGATCTGCCTGCCTCTGCCTCCTGAGTGCTGGGACTAAAGGTGTGTGCCACCATGCCTGGCATCTCTTACTTATTTTTATGTACTGATATAATAATGACTGGTCAATGGATAAATGATTAAGACTTTCAAACATACTTAATGCCTCTAATCATACAGAACATATTGTGAGCTATATTATGTGAACTCATCAAAAATTAATTGAAAAGATTGAAGATACAGGGATTTAATTTTGTCTGTATTAATATTTTTAAGCTTTCTAGTTTTGAAAAATATGCTTGTTAGAAGTTATATACATAAACCTACTTTCCACTTTTATTTTAGGTAAAATTGATAAAATATGCAACTGATAGTGAAACAGTGGAACCCATTATCTCAAAGTTGGTGACAGTGCTTTTGAAAGGCTGTCAAGATGCAAACTCTCAAGCTCGTTTACTGTGTGGGGAATGTTTAGGAGAATTGGGGGCAATAGATCCAGGTCGATTAGATTTTTCAACAACTGAAACCCAAGGAAAGGATTTTACATTTGTGGTAAGTAATGGTAATGTCAAGTGTTAAGATTTCTCTGTTCATTGAGATTTATATTTTCCATTTATAAAGAACCATGTAGCCAGGCAAAGCAGCACTCCCCTTTAATTTAGCACTCAGGAGGCAGAGACAGGATGATCTCTGAGTTGGAGGCTAGCCTGGCCTATATGGCCAGTTCCAGACATAGTGAGACCCTGTCTCTAAAAAAAACAAAAACAAAAACCAGAAAACACCTATGTAATTTATCCTTAGTGACCATTTATTCGATGTCAGAAATTTTAGGAAATGTTTGAATTGATTTCTAAATAGAACTCTTTAGGCAAAAGCAATGGTTTGAGCCCAATCTAATGTATTTTGATCTTGCAAATAAAGCTTACTAATCTACTTATGATAATAATTAAAGGCCTAATTAGTTATCTAAAGATTAATGATTAAACATAATTGCTAGTGTTTCCATAGAAAACTAGTTTCACGGCATATTCTAGTAATGTGTGTACTTTAAGGAAATCCATGTAGAACAAAATTAACTGGTATGTTTTGCCTGTTTGGTTTTGTTGTTGTTTGTTTGTTGCCAGTACTAGAACTTGAACTCAGGGCTTTGCTGTAAGGCAAGTGTTCTCCCAATCAAAATTAGAAATTAAAAAAATGCTTTATTATTTTTATTTTATGTGTATGCTCTTAACCACTGAACCATCTCTCCAGCCCCCAAAATTAGAATTTTGATGTGTCAGTATGTGTGGTGAATCTGAGTTGAATGTATGCTGAAATTACTTCTTAGAGTTTTTCAAGTGATTCTCAGGCTTCACAGTTTAAGAACTGTTATAAATACAAGTTACCTTTTAAATTTTATTATTAGAGAGAGAGAGAGAGAGAAAGAAGAAAAGAGGTTTAGAGAGAGAGAGAGGTACAAAGGAGATCATGAGAAAGCCAGAAGAGACCTTAGAGGAGGGGACATGTGATATGAAGGCAGACGTGTGGGGCAACTTGTGGAGAGGTAGGGAACCAGCCAGAGGGGAAATGGGGTGATGGGGGAGGCAGGGAAGGAGGGGAATGAATGGACGAATAAAAACAAAAGGGCATATGTGCATAAAACGCCATATGAAACCCATTACTAGAGGCTGTAAAGGAGATGAAAATGCCCAGGGAGAGAAAGAAGAAAAGAGGTTTGGTTGTGTGTGCCAGGGTGTATGTGTCAGGTCAGAGGAAAACATTGTGGAGTCAGTTCTCTTCTTCCACTTTTAGGCGTGTTCTGGGGATTGACCTCAGGTCATCAGTCTTGCATGGCAAGACTCACTAAGCCATCACATCTGTTTTACAATTTGTTTTTACCAATTAAAATATAAGAAATGCAAATTGCCAAAACTATTCAAAAATTGAATAATTCTAATATACTTTCATAACAGCCTAAAAAGTTCTAGGTTTTGGCTTCTTGGCTGTGGATTGTATTTTGACCATCTGTCTTTTTCTTTTTTTAAGTTAAGTCACTATGGAAAGTATGGTATACTATCAGTTATTAAATCTTTTTCCTGTTTTGGTTAAGACTGGAGTAGAAGACTTAAACTTTGCCTATGGACTGCTGATGGAGCTAACAAGAGCTTACCTTGCATATGCAGATAACAGCAGAGCTCAAGATTCAGCTGCTTATGCCATTCAGGTAAGCTTGCTTATATAATACAGCTCTACTTTACTGAATTCTAATAAGAAAACTATAAATTCTTTACTTGTAAAACTTTTTAAAAATTATCACCTTAAGTGTTTCAGATTCTTGATAAACATTTTAAAGAATACAGAAATACATCTTCTTGAATGAATAAAAGAAAGCTTAACAACACATATATGTAAAAATGCCATCATGGCTGTGTGCACGTCTTTAATCCCAGCACTCAGTAGGTAGAGGCAAGCAGATCTCTGTGAGTTCAAGCTAGCCTGGTCTACATAGTGAGTTTTAGGCTAGTTGGGGCTACAGGGAAACCCTGTCTCAAAAAAAAGATCAAAATAATAATAATATTCGTCATCATCTTTAATTTGACTTTTTGTGTTTAATAGTCTATCTTGGGTAATTTCTGTGTCAGTGACATACATCTAGTTCATTTTTTTCAGTGCTTGAATAATAATCAATATGAATGTACTACAATTTATTTAAGAAATGTACTTAAAACATCTAGATTGTACCCAGTGTTTTGCTTTTATAAAAAATGATTTAGGAACCAGGCATGATGGTCCACACCAGTAATTTCAAGCAGTGGAAATAGAAATGCAGGAGGATCACCACCAGGCTAGTTTAAGGCTATCCTGGACTACACAGCTTGTTGTAGGCTAGGCTGGTTTACATAGTGAGACCTGTCTCAGAATACCACCAAAATTTAAAAATAAAATTAAAAAATGATTTAGGGAATAAATGTTTTATACATTTGTGAATATATATGAACAGCATAAATATCTAGAAGTTAAAATTAGTCTCAGACCAAGTATAGAGTTTGTACTAATAGATCCTATTTTTAAAAATAACCAGTCTAGCCGGGCGTGGTGGCTCACGCCTTTAATCCCAGCACTTGGGAGGCAGAGGCAGGCAGATCTTTGTGAGTTAAAGGCCAGCCTGGTTGACATAGTGAGTTCCAGGACAGCTGGGACTACAGGGACACCCTGTCTCAAAAACACCAAAAAAAAAAAAAAAGTCTGACAGCCTGTTATAAGAATTTTAAGTCCTGGGGCTGGAGAGATGACTCAGCGGTTAAGAGCACTGACTTCTCTTGCAGAGGACCCAGGTTTGATTCCCAGCACCCATATGGCAGCTGTGAACCGTCCTTAACTCCAGTTCCAGGGGAATCCGAAGCCCTTTTCTGACCTCCGCAGCATTGCAAGACATGAGTGCACTCACATACATGCAGGCAATACACTCGTACACATAAAAGTAATAAATAAATAAAAAAATTTTAAGTCCTTGCCAGTATGGCAAATGAAAACTGGTAATTTACAGTTTTTAAATAATTAGAGTGGCTGGACGTAGTGTTATACACCTTTGGTCCCTGTCTCTGTAGAGGCAGAGGCAAGTGGATCTCTGTGAGTTCAAGGCCAGCCTGGTCTACATAGTGAGTTCTAGGTCAGCTGGGGCTACAGGGAGACCCCTGTCTCAAAAACAAAACAAAAAGAACCAAATCCAAATAAATAGAGTGTTGTACCATTTTTCATATGCTTTTTCATTTTTATGAGTTTGTTATAGCTAATCTTTTCCTACTTTTCTTTTGGTGTTAAAGATTATTTTTTATTTATATTGAAACCTATCCAGATACAATGAAAACTGACTATCATACATGTAATGATCATTTTTTTTCTAATTTGACTCTTCTTGTCTTTCATATTATTTTTTCTTTTCCATTGAAAATTCAGATCTGGAATTCATGATGATGAAATCTGGGTTATAAATGTAAATTTGAATGTCTTCATTACATAGAGATGGCATTTAAAATATTGAGTCTAGATAAGATAATCAAGAGGGGAAGTACACGTTAATAGATTCTATCAATTGGGATGTGGTATTGCTTGCTTGTGATCTCAGCTGCTCGGGATGCTTAGGTTTGCATGAGCTTAGGAGTTCCAGGACAGCATAACCAACTTAGTGAGACCCTGTCTAGGAGAGAAATGGGGAGAAGTAGAGAGAGAGAGGGAGAGAGAAAAGGAATCAGTTTCAAACATTAAGAATGTGCAAGAAGAGAGAAATTAGATATAAAAAAATTCTTGAGGAATTTTGCTATCAAACACGAGAAGAATGAGAGAGAAGCTGGGACAAAAAGAAGAGTAAAAACAGGAAAATAACAATAGTTCTGTTAGTTGGGAATAGGTCATCAGAAAGGAGATAGTGATATTGTCAAAGAAAATTGATGTAATATTTTGTTTTGTTTTATTTTGGAGTATTGGGTATGAATGCTAAGTACACATTCTATCACTGAACTATATCCCCAATCCTGATAAAACATTTTAAGTGGGTAAAAAGCTGTGCGTATAATATAGAAATAGAAGGGTTAATTATCATTAAACCAAGAATAGGAGATGGAGGTGCAGTTCAGTTGGTAGAATGCACACAGGAAGGCATGGATTTAATCCCCAGTGCTGCATAAACTGGGCATGGTAGTTCATACCTGTAGTCCCAGAATTTAGGAGATAGAGGTAAAATGATTACAAGTTCGAGATCATCCTCACCTAAAAAGTGAGTTCGAGGCCATCCTGAGATGTATAAGACCTTGTCTTTAAAGAGGAACAAACAAAAATCTCTTTTAAGAACAACAGAAAAAAGAGGTTAGGGGCTGGAGCTGTGGCTCAGCAGTTAAGAACACTTACTACTCTTACAGAGGACCTGGGTTTGTTCCCAGCACCACATTGGGCAGCTCATAACCACCTATAACTCCAGTTTCAAGGGACTTGATGCCCTCTTCTGGCCTCCAGGAGCACTTGCACGCACCTGATGTACGTACACTCATGCACACATACTTATAAGAATAAATATATCTTTTCTAAAAAAAAGAAAAGTGAGGCTGGAGAAATGACTCAGTAGTTAAGAACCCTGGTTGGTCTTGCAGAGGACCTGGGTTCAGTTCTCACTACCCACTTGGTAACTAACAACCATATGTAACTCCAGTTTCAGGGGATCCAGCACCCTCTTCTGGCCTCCGCAGGCATTGTATGACATGAATGCACTTATGGGCATGCAGGCAAAACACTCATAAAATAAAATATTTAAAATAAATAAATATAAATAAAAGAAAGTAGTTCATGTGTGCACAGGTACCAGGCTTGTATAGATTGCAAGAATGCAAGTTTTTAAAAAATATTTTATTATTTTTATTTTATGTGTATTAGCGTATTGCCTGCATGTATGTGAGTGCACCCATGTTGTGCAAAGCTGCAGAGGTCAGAAGAGGGCTTCAGATTCCTCTGGAACTGGAGTTAAGGATGGTTCGTAGCTGCCACGTGGGTGCTGGGAATTGAATCCGAGTCCTCTGCAAGAGCAGTCAGTACTCTTAACTGCTGAGCCATCTCTCCAGCCCCCAATGCAAGAATGCAAGTTTTGAAGGTGCCCTAACCATTTCTGTTTTCTTTATGAAATATATAGCAAGACCTATAGCTGTAAGCATAATAGTGTTTTTAACAGTGTATTTCTGAAATCAAAAGAAGAATCACTGATTTAGTAAGTCTGTTAATAAAAATTAAGAGCCTTTTATTTTTCTTACTGTCTTTTTACATTTATTTTTGTTTATTATTTGTGTATATAGGCGTGCGCTTCACATGTAGAGGTCAGAGGGCATTTTGCTAGAGTCAGTTCTTTCCTTATACCATGTGGGTTCCAGGGATCTAACTTAGGTTATCCTGCTGTCCGACTTGGTATCAAATATCTTTACCCACAGAGCCATCTTACAGGCTCAAGAGGCTTCTTTTAGAGGGACTTTACCAAACATTAGAAAAGACTGGATTCAGCCGGGCACATGTGGTGGCAGTAGTGGCACATGCTTTCAGTCCCAGCACTTGGGAGGCAGAGGCAGGCAGATCTCTGGGAATTCCAGGCCAGCTGGGGCTGCAGGGAGACCCTGTCTCAAAAAGACCAAACAAAAACGAAAGAAAGAAAGAAAGAAAGAAAAGAAAAGAAAGAAAGGCTTGATTCAAATGGAATTTTAATGAAATTTTAAGTACTTCATTTGCGTTTTTATGTGCCATCTTAGTTTTCTTAAAATATTTTATTTATTATTTTTATTTTATGTGTATGAGTGTATTGCCTGCATGTGTGTTAGTGCACTCATTTCGTGCAGTGCCTGCAGAGGACAGAAGAGGCCGTCAGATGCCCTGGGACTGGAGTTTCAGACAGTTGTTAGCTGCCATGTGGGTGCTGGGATTCGAACCCGGGTCTTCTGCAAGAACAACCAGTGTTCTTAACCACTGAGCCATCTCTCCAGCCTGCCATCTTAGTTTTGTCAAAAAATACTGAATATATGGGGCTGGAGAGATGGCTCAGCAGTTAAGAACACTGGTTGTTCTTGCAGAAGACCCGGGTTCGAATCCCAGCACATGACAGCTAACAACTGTCCGTAACTCCAGTTCCAGGGGATCTGACAGCCTCCTCTGACCTCTGAAGGCATTGCACAACATAGGTGCACTTACTTACATGCAGGAAATACACACATACACATAAAATAAAAATAGCAAAATGTTTTTTAAAAGTATTAAAAAATACTGAGTATAAAGTATACTTTGCTTGATATTACTTATATTTTAGAAATATTAGAAAAGCATCCAATTTTCAGTATAACAGGAAAGAACAAGCAATAAGAGAGAGAAAGTATAATACCTTAACGTATTTGTCCTGGTTGGTGTTTTGTATTGTATTTTTTTTTAATTAACTAATTTATTTATTTTTACTTTATGTGTTTGTTTGCTTGCATACATGTGTATGGACCCATGTTGTACAAAACCCATGAAGACCAGGAGAGGGCATTGGACCCCTTAGAACTGGAGTTACAGACGGTGGTTAACCACCATGGGGGAGCTGGGAATTGAACTGGGTCCCCTGCAAGAGCACCCAGTACTCTTAACTGCTGAGCCATCTCTCTAGCCAGTATTTTTTTGTTTTCTGAGACAGGGTCTCAGTATGCAACCCTAGCTAGCCTGGAACTTACTATGTAGACCAGGCTGACTTCAAACTCAGAGATCTGCCTGCCTCTGCTGTCTCAATGCTAGAACTAAAGGTGTGTGCCACCACTCCTGGCTATTTGTCCCATTTTAAAGATGGATATTAGCGACAGTGAATTTTCTTCATCCATAAAATCCTTTCCTCACATACCCCTCTTTTGTTTTCTTGGCTTTTTGAGATGTATCTCAGGCTGGCCTCAAATTTGCAATCCTAATTTGGCCTCCTGAATACTGGATTGTAGGTATGTACCCAATGCCCAGTTGCAGTTTGTTTTGTTCTTTTCAGGAAAGAAAATAGAATCATTTTGGAATAATAAATAAATTGGTCTTTTAAAAATTAAACAAAAAGTTTTGAGCAGTGCATCATCGGGTATTCCAGGCTGACTTGAAATCCTTCATAGCTCAGGCTGATCTCGAACTCATGGGCCCAAGCTTGTGGAGATCCTTGTATCTCACATCCCTAATGCTGGGATTACCGGTGTTTTCTACTACACCCAGCTATAAACAGGTCTTTAGCTTTTGCATCCTATTTTCAGGATTAAAAAAAATTATTTATTCATTTTTGCTTTATGTGTGTGTTTTTCCTGCAAGTATGGAAGTGCACAGTATGTGTGCAAATCCCCACAGATGCCAGACGAGGATTCCCTGGAACTGGAGTTTGAGACAGTTATTAGCTGCTGTGTCAGGATGAACATGATGCTGGGAACTAAAAGCAAGAGCAGCCACGGAGCCATTTCTAGTCCCCATCTTTGTAATTTTAAGCTCGATATCTTTTTCTTTCTTTCTTTTTTTTTTGGTCTTTTTTTGAGACAGGTTCTCCTTGTAACCCCAGCTGGCCTGGAACTCACTGTGTAGACCAGGCTGGCCTTGAACTCACGAAGATCCACCTGTCTCTGCCTCCCAAGTGCTGGGATTAAAGGTGTGTGCCACCATGCCTGGCTCAAAATAGTTCTTAGTTTCGTATTTCAATGCCTATTTTACATAAACTGGCTTAGTAATCAAGTACTGTCATAGCTTAAGTAAGTTTTCTGAATGGTTTCAAGCATTGAAATAAATGTCCTATGGAAGTTCACAACTCTAAAAGTTTAAATTTATCTGTTTCACTGTGGACTTACAAATGTAAAATATGTATTTGTAGGAATTACTTTCTATTTATGACTGTAAAGAGATGCAGAGCAATGGTTCAGGTCACCAACTGTGGAAGAGATTTCCTGAGCATGTTCGGGAAATACTAGAACCTCATCTAAATACTAGGTATGTGGATTCATTTATTTTCATAAAACTTTTAAAATTGGTTTAAGGATTATTGTATGAAATGTACAAAAGCTCAAACATTTTTAAAAATTAATGTTACCGTTCATAGACCATTTTAGCATTAAAAGTTTTTTTTTAGTATGCAAATTTGCTTTCATCTTTGATAAATGGGAAAATTACATGTACACCACCACCAACAACATGAATGGCTAACAAGTCTTGATTCCGTGAACATCTCTCTCGCTTGTCTTCCAGCAGCAGGAGAGGAAGTATAGGACTGGCCTGTAGGAACCTCAGGAGTTCTTTTCAGAAATCTCTACTAAGGAGAAGCTGAGCTTCTCAGATAGCAGAAAAGAATTTTTTTTTTTTTTCTTTTGAGACAGGGTCTCCTTGTAGCCCCAGCTATCCTGAAACTTGCAGACAAGGCTGGCCAAGAATTTTTTTTCATTTCATTTTTTTTTTTTGAGGGTTTCTGATAATGCTACATTCTGAACATACAAAATGAATTTTTTTCTAGAATATTTCAAAAGATGGTGCCGGTCTATCACTGTTTGCAAAGCACCTTCACATACTGTTACTGTAGGTCATTTTGTCTCTTAAAGAAAGACACCATTGAAGCAAAGATGGTTTTTATTAAGAAAATTATTGCTTATTTTTGGGGTTTTTTTTTTTTGAGACAAGGTCTCAAAAGGTAGTTGAGAATGACCTTCCAGTCCTGATCCTCCTGCATCATCTCCTAAATCTTGGGATTACAGGTGTGGCATAACCTTTTGCTTTCACCTTGTGCATCGCTAAGCTGGCCTCTGGCCTCTACCTGGAAGCATTTTTATTGGCTAGGGAGATGGCTCAGTCAGTAAAGTGGCACTGTGCACAGATGAAGACCTGAGTTCCAATCCCCGAATCCATGTAATAAGCCAGGCATGTACCTGAAGCCCCAGCATTAAGTGGTGGCAGAACCTGAGATAGGAGGATCCTTGAAGCTCATTGGCTAGCCAGCCCAGCCAAATAGATGAGCTTTGGGTTCTGAGAGAGAATCTGTCACAAAAAATAAATGGTGAAGGACCTTGAGAATTACACCCAATTTTGACCTTTGTCTTCCACACACACCTGCAGATACATGGGCATATTCCTACACTAATAAATTAATATATTATACATACAACACTCCATACATACACATATACAAAACAGCAAAGTACTTTTAGTATGTTCTTATGTGTAATTTCCATTGTGATTTATATTTATACTCTTCTTTGCAATGAGAAATGAAGTCTCATTTGGTTAAATTCTGTAACTTTAACTATTTAATTCATTGAAGTTAAAAGAATTTTATTTTACTTCTGTCGACCTAGTACTTTGAATCTACATTGCTTTTAAGTTCATATTTATGTGTATGTTTGGGTTCACTGTTTGCAATGTGTGCATGTGGATGTGTACATGTGCATGTATGTGTGGAGGCCAGAGGCTGATGTCAAATGCTTCTTCAATCACTTCTATCCTTATTTGTTTGAGACAGGGTCTCTAACTGAACTATATGTATATAGTAAGTCATTAGGAGGTGGTTTAGTATGATAACTGGTTTTTTTGGTATGATAACTATTTAGTAGAAAACTATTTTTAGGTTCCCACCTATGTCCAGTGACCTGTCTAGTCTGTTTCCTAAGCCTGATATCATTGTCAGATATGGGCTGTATCCTAGGAAGTGGACCTTCGATTAAAGTGGTTGGTTACTCCCATAATATTTGTGCTGCTAGTGCACCAGTGGGTATACCTTGACAGGACAGTTGTTATTGTAGTTCTCAGGGATCACAGCTGGGAAAGGTTGATGAACATTTTTGTTTTCTTTCCAGTAAGTAGCATGCATAGCGCCTTCCAGCACTATGGAAGCTAGCCAGTAGAGATGAGGCCCTGAAGTCAGCACCACCTTTTCTGTTTGTTCTACACCTCTTGTATATAGTACCTTCAGCAATAGGGCTTTACCATCCAGCTCTGCTGGGTAACTAAGAGCAGAGCCAATGTCCAGTATTGTTTGACAGTCTGTGGGACCTCTGATTAACAGCATCTAGAGAGGGAGTCCATTCTTGGCATTGAGGTTTTTTTTTTTTTCATTATTTTTCTTTTGATTTTTCTTTATTTTTATATGTATGAATGTTTTGCCTGTATGTATGTAATTTCACCCATGTTGTATAATGCCCACAGAGGCCAGAAGAGGGCATTGGATGCCCTGAAAGTAGACTTAACGGACTTTTGTTAACCATGTGGGTGCTGGGAACCAAACCCCGGTCCTCTGCAAGAGCAGCCAGTGCTCTTAACCACTGAGCCATCTTCCAGCTCCTCCTTGTACTTAAAAGTGTTTTCTATTATCTTTTCAATATTAACTTTGTTAGGACTCCTTACTAATTATACATTTTGGATTTTTTTTTTATGTTAGAGGCTTTAATTTTAGATACTTTAGGGTTACATATTAGGTATGTGACCTTGGAAAAATTACTTCTCTGAACTTTCGTCAAATACCTAGACGTCTTATAAAAATCCTCAAATTTGCATTTTTATTTGATGAAAAAATGTTATATTTAGAAGTCTTTTAAAAATTCACCTGGCGTGGTAGCACACGCCTTTAATCCCAGCACTCGGGAGGCAGAGGCAGGCGGATCTTTGTGAGTTCAAGGACGGCCTGGTCTACATAGTGAGTTCCAGGCCAGCTGGGGCTACAAGGAGACCCTGTCTCAAAAAAGACCAAAAAAAAAAAAAAATCATTGTATATTGTATGACTCACACTGTTAAGGATATAACTTTTGATGTGGCTTCTAAAACTAAAATTTGGTTTTTCTTTTTTCTTTTTTTTTTTCTTTTTGAAATAGGGTCTCCCTGTAGTCCCAGCTGACCTGAACTTAGCACGTAGACCAGGCTGGCCTTGAACTCACAACAGTCCGCCTCCTAAGTGCTGGGATTAAAGGTGTGCACCACCACGCCCGGCTGGTTTTTCTATTTTGAGGACTCCATACTTTGCCCATACTCTCTAACACTCCCATGCCCCCATCACCCTTCCTTTTTAGTAGGGTCTCTTATATTGCCCTGACTGGCCTGACAGACATATATATCACTTAAGCTGGCCTCAAACTCACAGTCTTTTTGCCTAAGACTTCTCAGTGCTGGGATTAGAGGTGTATGCTAGCTATCATGCCCAGCTTCTCTATTTCTTGATTCCACATTTTAGCACATTTATATACTTAAGATTTCTTGTGATCTACAAGAAAGTTTATAGCCTTTGGAGTCATAAATACCTAAGTTTGTGTCTTGGCCCTGTATTTGCTAACTCTGAAGTCTTAAGTAAATTATTTAAGAGTACCAAGTTTCAGGGGTTTTTTTGCTTTGTTCTGTGTTTGGCTTTTTTGTTTGTTTTTCTTATGGTTGCTTGGGTGCTGTGAGAAGGTTTCACTCTGAAGCTCAAGCTGTCCTGGAACTCAGTCTGCACCCCAGGCGGGCCTGAGACTTGAGTTCTTGCATCTGCCTCTCAAGTGCTGACATTATAGGCATGTACCACCATGCTTAGTCTCATTTTTTTTTTATAATTTTGAAGATGTGGATACTTTTAATACTTTAAAGTACCAGCAGAGTGACTAAAATTTAGCTGACACTCAGTAATGAATGCCTATTTGATCACAGCTTATTGAATAAATTCTTTGTATTTGGATAAGAGAGTTTTGTAGGAGTGGTTTGTTTCTACTTCATAAGAAGTTCAGGTCTGGTTGGGAAGATAACTCCGTTGGTAAAGTGCTTGCCTTAGAGCATAAAGACATGAGTTCAGTCCCTAGAACCCATGCATAAAAAGCCAGGTGTGGTGTATACTCTTGAAACTCTAGCACTGGGAGGTGAAGATAGGACTTCTGAGGCTTACTCAGCCTAGGCTGCTTGACAAGCTGCAGAACAGTTGGAAATCCTGTCTCAGAATTTTAAAAAAAAGCATGCTGCATCTAGACCCCCCCAAGGTTGTCCTTTAACCTTCATATGCATGTGTATACATTTGCATGCTTCCCTGCACACATATGTGCACCAGAACACTATATTACAAACAACAATAACAAAAGAAAAGAAAAGCCCACTCTTGCCCACTTAAGTAGTCACATATGAAAGTGACCTTAGGAAACCAATGAGCATTTTTATGGTCTAGTACTTTAAATTTAAAAAAAAATTATGTGTATGAGTGTATTTCCTACATGTATGTAAGTGCACCCATGTCCTGCAGTGCCCATGGAGGTCAGAAGATGGTGTCAGATCTCCTGGAACTGGAGTTAGGATGGTTGTTAGCAGCTGTGTGGGTGCTGGAAATGGAACCTGTGTCCTCTGCAAGAGCAGTCAGTGCTCTTAATTGCTGAACTGTCTCTCCAGCCCCCTTTAAAATTTTTTCACATTTATTTTGTATGTGTGTGCATACACACATGCATGTGCATGTTTTCCATGGCACACATGGAAGTCAGAAGTCACCTTGTGGGATTTGGTTCCCTAACCATGTTGCTTCCAGGGAATGAACTCATGTCAGTCTTGGCGGCATGCACCTTTATCTGCTGACACGAGCCATGATCTGGCAACGAAAAATCAGAGGAACCTCTCAGATGATTCCTCACTGGTTTAAGTTAGTAATTTATCCACATAGGGATCTAGTCATTGAAATTACTACCCATAAAAATTAGTCAAAGAAGTGGAGTTTCTGTAGAATTGACCTTCATTTTATAGCTTGAACTAGCTGAGATTTATTCCTGATGGCTGGTAAAACAGAATTTGTTTCTGTTTGTTTGTTTGTCTGTCTGTCTGTTTGTTTATGACAAGGTTGTGCCTGTAACCCCAGCTAGCCTGGTACTCCCTAAGTAGACCAGACTGATCTACCTGCCTCTGCCTCCCATGTGCTGGGATTAAAGGTGTGTACCATCATGTCCAGCCACATCAAATTTCTTAAAAGCTATCCTTGGTTTTGATTATGTTCTCTCTTGTACTTTTTCAATTGAGTTTTTAGCATACAATCTCCAAACCTGGGTTAATTGATGCCTGTATTTGGAAAATTAAATTTTTAGAATCAGATGGATCAAATATAGTTCAAAGTTGCCCCAGAAAAAAGGAGAAAACACGGCTAGGTAGAACCTGATTTGTAGCTCAAAATCTTTTTTTTTAAACTAAATTTATATAAACATTTTGTTCTAATAAAAATCTTTTCATGTAACTTTTTCTTCTAGTTTAGTGTTATATTTTGAGATTGAGGGATTTCTCAGATTTTAGAAACTTGGAATACAGTGAAATATATATACAATGCTTGCTGAAGACCTTGAGTATAAGCTAATGATTATATTTACCAAGTTCTGCATTTATATTAATGGTTCAAAAAGAACCCATTTCCCTCAGATAATCTACAGATATGCAATTACTTGTAAGCTGAGAGCTGTTTGAATATGCTTAATTTAACAGTTTGCTGAGGAATAAAAGTCATATTGGACTAAGGGGAGAGAATTGAAGAGTTACAGCTTGATAGGAAATTACGGGGAGTAAGATTTCTTTCTTTGTAAATAGGGAAAGCTAAAATGAAGGGTAGAAACCAGCTAAGTTTACAGATAGTGAGAATGGTGTAGGATGGATAGGAGAGATGGCTCACAGTTAAGAGCTCTTATTGCTCTTTCAAAGGACCTTAGTTCAGATTTCAGGACGCACATCAGGAGGCTCACAACCACCTGTAACTCCAGCTCCAGAGGATTCAACACCCTCCTGTGACCTCTGTCTGTACCCATCCACACATGGTATATACTCACACAGAAATACATACACATTAAATAAATAAATAAATCTTTTTTCCAAAGAAAAATAAACTCAAAAAATGAAGGAAAGAAAAAAAAAAAGAGAGAAATTATATAAAAAGCCAGGCATGCTGGGCGTGGTGGCTCATGCCTTTAATCCCAGCACTCGGGAGGCAGAGGCAGGTGGATCTCTGTGAGTTCAAGGCCAGCCTGGTCTCCATAGTGAGTTCTAGGATAGTTGGGGCTGCAGGGATACCCTGTCCCAAAAAGAACAACAATAACAACAACAGCAAAAAAGCCAGGCATGAAGGCACATACCTTTAATCCTAGCACTCAGGAGGCAGACGCAGGTTGATCTCTGTGAGATGGAGTCCAGCCTGGACTAAATAGTGAGTTCCAGCTGGAACTTGCCAAAACAAATAAACAAACTGATGTGGATTTTTTTTTCCTCCTCTGTGAAGTCAGAGATATAGGAGATGAGATCATTGGGTGAATGTGGGGGTCCCTTCTTTGATGGCAATACTGGTGGCCCTGGGACTTGAAAACTTTTGTAGCAAGTTAAATTCATTAAAAAATTCAGTAGGTTTTTATACAGAACAAGGAACTTCCAGTCACGTGGGTTTGGCAGTTACATACAAAGATTTAGGACACAATTAAACAAGAAACAGGACATATAGCTTTTAGTTGGCACCAGCTAGGGGCTGTTTGTAAAGCAGGATGCTTGTACTTTTACTCAGGGTTACCAGTGCCTATCTGGTAATTTATTGTCCACATGTTTTCTTTCTTAGGTCAAAAAGCATAGTAAACATTTAGCTTTTAGCCCAGGAGTAAATTTTTAACCTGGCCTATTTTAGCTAGTGAGAGCAGAGTGATTTATTGAGAATAAGGAGGTGGGCTAAGGGCTGTCGACCAAGATGCTTTCCCTCAAAGCAAGGAGCTTCAACTTTTGACCTGGCCACTTTTCTCCAGCTAGTCCTGCCAGTGTTCAGCAAGACAGGGATTTGAGGGCTGCTGTATTCAGCATCCCTCCCTTCAGCATAGACTGTAACCTAGACTTCAAAAGCTTCAGGTCCATCTCGCCCTAAAGCATGCCATCCTGGTTTCCTACAGGTGAAAGTAGCAGAAGTGGTGCAGATGATTAAAGAGCAGCCTTATAATTTGAGTAGAAGAGAAAATCCTTGAGAAGTTTTTTTTAATATTTGACATTGAAGTCAGTCATGATGATTATAAAACTTGGGGAAGAAAGAAAACAACAGTGTGCTGAAGTTGTCAGTGAGTGATAATCAGTGAGGTTGATGGATGGCCATAATAAGAAATAGTGGAGAATAGTGGGGATTTGAGCTTGAATGGAAGTTAAACAGATTTGAGGAAAAAGAGAGACCTACTCAGATACTAAGGTATACTTCTATGTAAGAATGACCTCCTACCTACCCTTAAGATAGTAGTAGAAAAATATTGTCCTTAACAGAATTCAGCAAATGAGACACAGAACTTTTAGTCAGTGAAGGGGCACATACAATTTCTTATACTTTCTTTATAATATTTCTAAACAAATACTTCTTTAACAAAAAATTTTTCAAAATTACAGATATAAGAGTTCTCAGAAGTCAACAGATTGGTCTGGAGTAAAGAAGCCAATTTACTTAAGTAAATTAGGCAATAATTTTGCAGACTGGTCAGCATCTTGGGGAGGTTATCTTATAACAAAGGTAAGAGAACATGGCTACAGAAATTCTAAAGGAAATAAGAACATCTATATGAATCTGTATCACACAACAAAAATGAATATTATATTGATATGATAGGAAATTTCAAAGATATTTACTAATAGTAACAGTTTTATTATTGTTACTAAATGACAGAGCCTAAGTAAAAAGGCAATTGTTTTATCAACTAAATTACCACATAATTAATATAACTGTAAAGCATCATGCATTACATTTTACATTGTAAAATAACACCATTTACAAGGATATGAAGACTTTTTTAAATAATAAAAAGATTCTTTTTAATATAATAGCAAGTTTAAGTTTATTTATTTATTTATTTATTTTTGGGGGGTCTTTTTGAGACAGGCCTCCTTGTAGCCCCAAGTGGCCTGGAACTCACTATGTAGACCAGGCTGGCCTCTGCCTGTCCTGGGACTAAAGGGGTGCACCACCATGTCTGGCTGAAGTTGTATTATTTTTTAATGATACTTTTGAAAGAAGATGTATCATCCGTACTTTTTCTAAAATAAAAATGAAATTTCATGGCAAAAGAAAAGAATATTTTCTTTTATTTCTTTCATTTTCCTAATATGAAATTTATGTGTGCCTGACTGACAAAAATGTGATATATTCTAAGAAAATGTTAAGGCATATTTAAAATGCACAACGTCTGCTTTAAATTCACCTTTCTATTAGGGTTTTTTGGTTTTTTTTTTTTTTTTTTTTTTTTTTGGTCTTTTTGAGACAGGGTCTCCCTGTAGCCCCAGCTATCTTGGAACTTACTATGTAGACCAGGCTGGCCTTGAACTCACAGAGATCCGCCTGCCTCTGCCTCCCTAGTGCTGGGTTAAAGGCGTGCCTGGCTACTTTTTTAAAAAATCATTTTAAGTAGCCAGGTGTGGTGGTACACAGCTTTAATCCTGGCACCAGGAGGCAGAGGAAGGCAGATATCTTGAGTTCAAGGCCAGCCTGGTCTACATAGCCAGTTCCAGGCCAGCTGAGGCTACAGGGAGACCCAATCTCAAAAGGAACAACAACAAAAATCCTAAGTATTAAATGGCAGTTTAAAGGCATTTTCTCTTACTTTTTAATGAATACACTGAAAATATGTGTGGAATGTTGAATACTATTAACTATTTCTAGTTCCGAATATTTTATTTAGTTCTTTTTGTTTTAAGTCAAGGATTTATATTTGAATTTTTATAATTTGAAATTTTTTTGTAAAAGTTGAGCAAAGGTGGTAAGTTGAAAGTTAGAGCATACCAGCAAAATTTGACTTTAAATTGAAAAATGAAAATTATATAGATTTAAAGAGTACATGTTTTGAAATATTTATATGCAAGTAATTTTATTTTATATTTTTATTTTTATCCTATAGTTTGTCATTGCTTATTACTTAAAATACAAGTCTCATGCTTAATGTGTGATGTGGAGCATACATTTTAGTTGCTTCACTTAGGAATTAACACACTAAATTTAAAGAAAAATATTGTAATTAGTAAAGTTAATCTGTGATAGAACATGATCCACTGCAAAAAGAGCTGTAAAAGAAGTGAGACCACTTATGCTAAAGCAGCTGCTTGTAACAAGAGCAGTTAGAGGGACCAGAAGGGTCATCTGAAGTTCTTGTTTATACATCCATCTCTGCTTAGACAATACCTATTCTGTCATGTTGAATTATCTTATGTACTGCATTTTAGCATTCAGTCAATAGACTGAAATGTGTGAAAGGACTTACTTTTCCTAAACCATTTGAGTTTACAGGTTCGGCATGATTTTGCCAGTAAAATCTTCACATGCTGTAGCATAATGATGAAGCATGATTTCAAAGTGACCATCTATCTTCTTCCACATATTCTAGTATATGTCTTGTTGGGTTGTAATCAGGAAGATCAGCAAGAGGTGAGCTTTATTTTGTTCGATTTTCAAATAAGTGACACAATTTCTGAACATGTGAAACTTGTTTTCTCTAACATAATTAGTTTTGGAAAACTGTAGAGTAGGAACCAGTGAGATGGATCAGTGGGTAAAAATGCTTGCCATACAAGCCTGATGACCTGAGTTCCATCTCTTGATTCCATGGTAGAAAGAGAACTGAGCTCTGAACGTTGTCCCATGACCTCCACATACGCATTGTGGAATGTATTTGCCCATATTGTCTCTCACACTCCTATTCACAGAAGTAATAAACCCAGCATGGGGGAGGTAGAGACTGGAAGATCAGGAATTAGAAGTCATCCTCAGGTACATAGCCAGTCTGTGCTACATGAGACCTGTCTAAAACCAAATACTAAAAAAATAGTGCTGTCTTCTATCTTTTAGAAAGTGTTTACTCTATTATCATTATCTTTACATTTAACCTTTTACTCTGAAATTAATTTTATATATGATATGAAATAGTCTAATTTACTTTACTATTAGTTTGCAAAGTTATACTATCATTTATTAAATAATATAGAACTTATTTTTTTGTATTTTCTTTAGCCATTGTTTTTAAGATTTTATTTTATGTGACTGAGTGTTTTGCTTGTATGTATGTAAGTACACCACATGTGCCTGGTGCCTGTGAAGGACAGAAAAGAGCTCCAGATTCCCTTGAACTGGGCTTGTGGATGATTGTTAACTGCCATGTGGGTACTGGAAACCAAACTTAGGGCCTCTGCAAGAGCATCCAGTGCTTTTAACTACTGAGCTCTCTCTCTCCAATCCCTAGTTATCCTTTTTAAGAAAATTATTTTAGGCCAGGCATGGTGGCACACACCTTTCTTTAATCCCAGCACTTGGTCCATGTGCACATATGTATATACTGATGTGTATGAGTGCCCACGGAGGCCAGAAGAGGGTGTCAGATCTCTTGGAGCTGGAGTTACAGTCAGTTGTTGAGCTGACGGATGTGGGTACTCTAAAGTAGCAAGTAATCTTGTGGGGGTGTTTTTGTTTTTGGGGGGTTTTTTTGGTCTTTTTTTTTTTTTCTCCCTGTAGCCACAGCTGATCTGGAACTCACTATGTAGACCAGGTTGGCCTTGAACTCACAGAGATCTGCCTATCTCTGCCTCCCAAGTGCTGGGATTAAAGGTGATACCTCTTAACCACTGAGGTATCTCCCCAGGTTCTATAGTCACCCTCCAACAGCTTTTCTTTCTCATGAATTTAGCTATAGATAAGAAAGGTTATTATTAATGTACTGTACTTCTTTTTTGTTGTCCTAAAATACTTTGTCTTATATTTCAGATATTAATAAAATGATGTTATATAAACATTATTATTAATGATAAATGAATTGCTTAGGTTTATGCAGAAATTATGGCAGTGCTAAAGCATGATGATCAGCATACTATAAGTACCCAAGACAGTGCGTCTGACCTGTGCCAATTGAGTACACAGACTGTGTTCTCTATGCTTGACCATCTCACCCAATGGGCAAGGCACAAATTTCAGGCACTGAATGCTGAGAAACTTCCACAAAACAAATCAAACAGAGGTAAGGTCAACTTAATGGATGAATTTTTTGTTTCCATACCACCAATTAGTTCCTTCTTATGTTGATTCTAAAATTTAAGAGTTTATTTTTGAGACAAGGTTTCACTCTGTAGCCTTGGCTTGTCTGCAGCTTGCTATGTAGACCAGGCTGGCATTGAACTTCAGAGAGCTGACTGCCTCTGCCTCCCAAGTGATAGGATTAAAGGCGTGTGCCTCTACTAAGCATTATTTTTGTTAAAGATTTATTTATTTTTATTTTATGTATGTGTGGGTATATCTGTATGTATAGGCCAAGTATGTGTGAAGTCCAAAAAGGATGTGGGAGCTCCTGGAGCTAGTGTTAGAGGTGATTGTGAGCTGCTTGACATGGGTGTTGGGAACTGAATTTGGGTTCTCTGTAAGAGCAATATGTGCTCTTAACCATTAGCCTCCTCTCTAGCCCTAAGCATTCATTTCAAAAAGTCCATTTTTTGTGCATTTATTTGTTTTTGCACTGCTGGGAATTGAACCCTGGGCCATATGTGTGCCAGGCAAGCATTCTACCACTGAGCCACACCCCCATTCTGTGTGCATTTTTAAATTGGTAATAATATATACTTTTCATTGACACAAAACACTTTATCACTATAAGACTTCTCTTTAGGGTATAGTTCAGTGGTAGAACACTTGTCTAGAGTGTTGGAGGGTTTTACCTCCAGTATTGCAGAATAAAAATGAAAATCAAGATGCCCCTCTTAAAGTTCTTACCCTTATATCCTCAGATAGGATACATACCTAATTTTTCTTTATGTAAAATGGGATAGTACCCTTTAGAAGATTTTTATGAGGATTTGATGAGATTTTATATATATATATAT